CTTTTCTGGACATGGCCTTTTCTGGACATGGCCTTTTCTGGACATGGCCAATGGGAAGGATTGATTTTGCTTGACTATACATGCTTGTTATACAGGTTTGTTTATTTTTCTTTTAAATTGGTAGAATGGAATGAGATGCAGAGGAGAGAAAATAGATTTTTTTCATTAAAAATGTAATTTTAAAAGTTCTTTGTTACTGGGAATGGTTCTCTGGAAGGAGAAGGGATACAGGGAGAAATCTAGATGATGTAAAAACAAAAGAGATCAATAAAAATCTATTTTAAAAACTGATTTACCAACAGAAGTGTGAGGTAAGTATCCTCTTACGTACATCCAGTGTGTGGCAGTGAGAACCCCTGGGACCAGAGGATCAGGAAAACCTGAGTGGCAAAAATCGGTGACCCTGACACAAATTTAGCTCTCCTCTTTTCAAGCCTGACCCTCTGCTCCTTCTAGTGGAAGTACTTGGTGTTGGAGAGATGACAGCAGGAGGCGAAAAGGCAGGGCCCAGATATGACACAGAGTATGGAATGATTGTCTGAATCACTAGGAATCAGACCTACTGAGCACTAGCTCTGGCCCTCATGCTGGCCCAGGGCCCCTTGGCCCTTTGAAGGAAGGAAGCTGCCCTCCCTCAGGCCAAAGAGGAAGGCTAGCCAGCAGCATGTCTCAAGTGGAATGAGTCTTGGCAGCTGGAAGGAACCTGAGTAAGGATGGCAAGAATAGTCCCAGAGCATATCTAATGTATCTAATGGCAGCATTTGCTCACTGCTTGACCTTCATTTATTTATCAAGATCCAAAGACGACTGGTGAGAGGGGACATACAATGGTGACACAGGCCTTGGGTCCACATTCTACCCATGAGACTCAGGACTCTAAGGTGAGCATAAATAAAAGGTGGGTGTACCCACCCCCTGAGTTGCCTCATCCTGAGGCTGACTTTAACACACCTGGCTTTGATACCCCAAACTAAAAATAAGCTTTCCTTCAGCTGGGAAATTTGTAATCCAGAAAGAACCTCCAAGGTAAATTGCCAGGGCCAAGATGGCGAGCACGTGGTTAAAACTGAAATTGCCAAGTCACATGTTCTGTAGATAAATGGAAAAGGAAAGACAAGGACTGTGACTTACCACTCTGTCTATGCTTCCCTGTTGGCTTTAAAAAGCCTTAATGAAAGGCAGCATGGTATCATGGATGGAACTTTGGGCTTGCAGTCAGCAAAAACTGAGGTCAATTCTACCTCAGACACTTACTAGCTGTGCCACCCTGGGCAAATGATTTAACCTTTTACAGCCTGAGTTTCCTGAGGCTATAAAACAGGGATACTATTAAGTGGTAAAATTAATAAAATTTCTTATTAAATTTCTTGTAAAAAAACAGGGATAATATTCACACCTATTTCACAGTGTAGTTGTGGAGATCAAATGAGATAAATGTGAATAAAACACCTTGTAAATTGATAAATGTTAGCACTCATCTGCATACAGAGAAAGAACTATGGAGTCTAAATGCAGATCAAAGCATACTATTTTCTCTCTCTTTTTTTCTCTCTCATGGTTTTTCCCTTTTGTTCTGATTCTTCTTTCATAACATGACTAATGTGGAAGTATGTTTAATATGATTGTACATGTATAGCCTATATCAGATTACATGCCATCTTGGGGAGGAGGGACAGGAGGAAGGGATAAAAAAAATTGGAACTTAAAAAAGTGAATGTTGAAAACTATCTTTTAATTGGAAAAAATAAAATACTATTAAGTGGGGGAAGGGAAGAAAAAAAAGAAAAAAAGAAATGTTAGCACTCTACTGCCAGTCACATGTTATGTGGATAAGTGGAAAAAGATATGGTTGGTTTTTTTGGATGGTCAATGTCCATTCCCTTTATTTGTAACTCTGTATTGTAATTATTGCAGTTTATGTTGACTTCCATAGACGGTACAAGCAATAAAAGGTGGCCACCTATGCTTTATATCAATGTTTCACACAAAGCAAATACAGAAATATCATATTACCTAATTTTCTATTTTAAAAAATTCCTATAGGCACAAAGCAGAATGCTGGAAAATCACTGAGGAAAGAATATGCATAAAGAAGTATTTCTTACATCAAAAAAGTCCAAGAATCACAAATTCTGCAGAAGCTTGGTTAATCAAATACTGCAGTACTGATTTAATCAGTATAAAATTGAAAGAGCGTTAGCCCTGTAATAAAAATTCCACTTTGGGATAGGGGAAACTTTAAAACAGCAGCCAAGGGAAGGGAAAAGTAGTAGGACAGGTGAACAGGCACATTGGAATTGTGGGGACATGTAAATTGACCAAACCTGTGTTTTCATGAAAAACGTTTTATCCACCTATTTTTTCCTTCTAAACTTGAGTCCATTGAAGTCCAAGACATTGTTTCAATTTTTTTTTTTTGGCTTGGTTTTCTTGGTGACAATATTTGGTGAATAGTAAGTTGACTGCTTTTCCTGCACGCTGTGGAAAAATTAGATGATAAAGTTTACAAATGCCCATACCACTCCCTTTATTTGCCTCCCTATTGGCAAAAAGCCTTTATGAAAGGCAGTGTGGCTTAGTGGAAAGAGCACTGGACTTGGAGTCAGAAAGACCATGGTTGGAATGCTACTTCAGATATTTCAATCAGGCAACAGATGTGTATTAAGCAAGCTCTTGTGCCAGGCCTTGTGCTTGGCCATGGGAATACAAAGACAAGAGTGAAACTGGCCCTTTCAGAGCTTATATTCTGTTGTTGGAAGAGATATGTATAAATCCAGGTATAACCTTAAAGTTACTGTGTTTTTAAGAGAAAGGGAATAGAATCTTGTAGGAAGAATCAGTTTTACCTAGAGTGAATTAACTGTCAAAGCAAGAGATTCTATGTGTGTGAAAAAGGCACAGAAAAAATTAACAGAACTTTCTTCTTAAGAGACAGATATTTCTAGAGAACTTAGTTTAATTCTTAACTTATGAAGAGACATTAGGTGGAGAATTCCTGGGAGACTTGGATCGCCGTCCTGAGAGAATTGTGTATCTTGAGCTGGGGTCACATTGGTGAAAAGATTCTGATCCACATCTCTTTCCCCTGTTTTTGGAGAACAAAAAGGTGACTGACTGTGAACTTTTCTCACCATGACACATTGTAAACAATTATTTGTCCTTGCTTTATTATTTGTTACACAGTTAATAAGTTGTATAAGCAAGAATATTAATGTTTAAGCCTATTAGGCTAGGGTGTTTGGGATTGAAAGAGAAGAGAAAAGCTTAGGGGAAATGAGGTTTCTTTGGTTTATTTATAAACTAGAGGTCAGAGCTAATTGAGAGAAATTATGCATTTCTGGTCATTTCTAAGGAAATGTCAAAACCTACCCCTTGAATGCCTTAGAACCCAGACAGAGAAATAAAAAAGGAAATGAGCTACTAACAGTTAGAAAGGGCAGAGGGTTGGTGCAATTTTCAAGTAGTTACACATACAGCCCAAGTCAGACTTCACACAGGCTATATGTGAGGTGGAGGGTATGGAAAGGGGGAGTTGGCCATTGTTTCTAAAATCTATTATTTATCAAGATAAATACAAAGTTATTTGGGAGCAAAATATTAGCAACTGTGTGGATCAGGAAAGATCATGTAGATGTTGGCATTTGAACTGACCCCCCTTTTTTGGTAGGGGGAAATGGGTCTCCCTGTTTTACTCAGGTTGGAAGTACATTGGCCACACACTGGCTTGACCCCACTACTGATCATCCCAAAAATTGTGACAGGTCCCATTTCTGTCCTAGGCCAGTTTGCTTCTTAGACATCCTGCTGTGCACTATCCCCACACAACCCCCCCCCCCCAAGTGTGGACACCTGATTGGCTTTAGCCCTACTGCAGCTCAAAACTCCAAAGCTCAAGAGATCTTATCAGCCTCAGCCTCCGTAGTGATTGCAGGCATGTGCTATTATACCTGGCACTTGAGCTGATTCTTGAAGGTAAGTAGGGGATTCAAAGAGGGACTTACTTCCTGGCTAACCTCAATAAGCTTGTTTCTTCATCTATAAAATGGAGATAATAAGCATACCTACATCACAGGATTGTTATGAGTAACAAATGAGAGAATTTAATGCATTTTCAGTGAGAATTTGTTTTGATTAAGTATGCATATTTGTTACAACAGTTTTGTTTTTCTTTTTTCCCAATATGGCAGTGGAAAGGGTGGGGAGAGAAAAGAGATATCAATCAGGTTGCTAAAAATAAGAATGAAAAAGAAAAGAAGGAAAAGAAGGTCACTGAATCATTTTTTAATGCACAGAAGAGAATGAAAAGAAACACAGATAAGCAAGACAGCTTTGATAGTTAGATATTTAATTTATTATACACTTAAAAAGACAGGCAAGAGGGGAATTTAGGCAAAGCCAAGATGGCAGAGAAAAGCCAAGAAGTTGCCTGAGCTCTCCCCAGTTTCCCTTGGAAATAATATTAAATCAAGCTTCTAAATGGATTCTGAAGTGACAGAACCCACAAAAAGATGGAATGAAATAATTTTCCAGCTTAAGATAATTTAGAAAGATTTCAGGAAAGGTCTGTCTCACTTGGGTAAAAGGGCAGCACAGCCCAGTGCAGACACTGTCCAGGCAAGCCAGTGGAAGGCTCTTAGCACAGATCAGCAAACGAGGCCTCTTGGTCCTGAGTCAGCAGGCCAGTAGCAAAACAGGTCAGCTGTAAGGCATCCAGCCCTGCAGAAGGCAAACTGCCAGCCCCAGCAACACAGCACAGAAAATCAGTGACCAAGCCCCTGGGCTCCAGCACAAGAAGCTTGGGATAGTGGCCCCTGTGCCCCAGGAGCAGAGCCCAACTTAAAAAGTCACAAAATAGGCTAAAAAATATGAACACAAAGCAGCAAAGAGCCCTGACCATAGAAAGCTACTATGGTGACAGAGAGGATCAAAACACAAACTCAGAAGAGGACAACAATGTCAAAATGCCTACAAGTGAAGCCTCAAAGGGGAATATGAATTGGTCTCAAGCCCAAAAAGCCTTCTTGGAAGAATTCAAAAAAGATTTTAAAAATCAAATAAGAAAGGCAAGAGAAAAATTGTGAAAAGAAATGAGAGTTATGCAAGAGAGAGTCAACAGCTTGGAAAAACAAGGACAAAAATTGACTGAAGAAACCAATTCCATAAAAAATGCAATTGGTCAAATGGAAAAAAAATCCACTGAAGAAAACAACTCTGTAAAAAGTAGAATTGGCCAAAAGGAAAAGGAGGTACAAAAGCTAATTGAAGAAAATAATGCCTTAAAAATTAGAATTGGGCAAGTGAAAGCTAATAACTACTCGAGACATCAAGAATCAGTCAAATAAAATCAAAAGAATGAAACAAAAAGAAGAAGAAAAATGTAAAATACCTCATTGGAAAAACAACTGACCTAGAAAATAGATCCAGAAGAGATAATTTAAGAATTAGTGGACTACCTGAAAGCCATGACCAAAAAAAGAGCCTGGATAGCATCCTTCAAGAAATTAACAAGGGAAACTGCCCGGATATCCTAAAACCACAGGGAAAAATAACAGTCATTGAAAGACTCCACTAATTACCTCCTAAAAGAGATCCCAAAATGAAAACTCCAAGGAATATTGTAGCCAAATTCCAGAATTATCAGGTCAAGGAGAAAATACTGCAAGCAGCCAGAAAGAAACAATTCAAATATCAAGGAGCCACAGTCAGGATTACATAGGATTTAGCAACTTCTATATTAAAGGATCAGAGGGCTTGGAATATGATGTTCTGGAAGGCAAAGGAGCTTGGATTACAATCAAGAATCAACTACCCAGCAAAATTGAGCATAATCTTTCAGGGGAAAAGACAGACATTCAATGAAATAAGAGACTTTAAACTTTCCTGATGAAAAAACCAGAAATGAACAGAAAATTCAATCTTCAAATACAAGACTCAAGAGAAGAATAAAAAGGTAAACAAGAAAGAAAAAAAAACCATGCTATTCAATAAGGTTAAATTGTTTCCATCCCTACACAGGAAGATGATACTTTTAACCCCTGAGAACTGTATCTCTATTAGGGCAGTTAGGAATGTACACACACAAAGGGTGTAGTATAAGTTGACTTTGATGTGAAGATATAATAATATAATTTTTTTTCCCAATATGGCAGTGGAAAGGGTGGGGAGAGAAAAGAGATATCAATCAGGTTGCTAAAAATAAGAATGAAAAAGAAAAGAAGGAAAAGAATATAATATAATTAATAAAGGGTGAAAAAAGGATTGTACTGGTAGAAAAGGAAAGGGGGAGGCAGAATAGTGCTGGTAAATTATATCACACGAAGAGGAGCAAAAGACCTATTACAGTAGAAGGAAAGACAGGACGGCAGAAGTAGAAGGGGAAAGGAGAAAGAAAAGGGAGGGGGGCTGATAGAAAGGAGGGCAGGGTGAGGGAGGTGGTGGTCAGAAGCAAAACACTGGTGAGGAGAGACAGGATGAAAGAAGAGAGAAAAGTATAAACAAGAGGAAAACAGGATGGAGGGAAATACAAAGATAGTAATCATAACTGTGAATGAGAATGGGATGAACTCTCCCATAAAATGGAAGTGAATAACACAGTGGATTAAAAACCAGAATCCTACAAAATGTTATTTACAAGAAACACATCTGAAGCAGAGAGATACACACAAAGTAAAGGTAAAAGGCTGGAGTAGAATACATTATGCTTCAGCTGAAGTAAAAAAAACAGGGGTAGCAATCCTGATCTCAGACAAAGCAAAACCAAAAATAGATCTAATTAAAAGAGAAAAGGAAGGAAACTACATCTTGCTAAAATGTACCACAGACAATAAAGTAATATTAATACCAAATATATATGCACCAAGTGTTATAGCATCCAAATTCTTAGAGGAGAAGGTAAGTGAGTTGCAAGAAGAAAGAGATAGTAAAACTATACTAGTGGGAGACCTCAACCTCCCCCTCTCAGAACTAGATAAATCTAACCACAAAATATATAAGAAAGAAGTTAAGGAGGTGAATAGAATTTTAGAAAAGTTAGCTATGATAGATCTCTGGAGAAAATCGATTGGGGATAGAAAGGAATATACCTTTTTTCTCAGTGGTATATGGCACCTACACAAAAACTGACCATATACTAGGGCATATACTTACAATCAAACGCAGAAAGGCAGAAATATTAAATGTATCCTTTTCAGATCATGATACAATAAGAATTACATGTAATAAAGGGCCATGGAAAGACAGACTAAAAATTAATTGAAAACTAAATATACTAACCCAGAGTGGGTTAAACAATAAATCATAGAAACAATCAATAACTCCATCAAAGAGAATGACAATGAGACAACATACCAAAATTTATGGGATGCAGCCAAGGTAGTTCTTAGGAGAAATTTTATATCTCTAAATGCTTACATGAATAAAATAGAAAAAGAGCAGATCAATTAAATAAAAAAAATCAAAATTAGGGCATACAACTAAAAAAGAACAAAAAATCACCAATTAAATACCAAATTAGAAATCCTGAAACTCAAAGGAGAGGTTAATAAAATTGAAAACAAGAAAACTATTGAAATAATAAATAAAACTAAGAGCTGGTTTTATGAAAAAAAAATCCAATAAATAGATAACCCTTTGGTTAATTTGATTAAAAAAAGAAGAAAACCAAATTACCAGTATCAAAAATGAAAATAGTGAATTTACCACTAATGAAGAAGAAATTAAAGCAATAATTAGGAGCTATTTTGCCCAACTGTTTGCCAATAAACCTGACAATCCAAGTGAAATGGATGAATATTTACAAAAATATAAATTGCCCAGATTAACAGAAGAGGACATAAAATACTTAACCTCATTTTAGAAAAAGAAATTGAACAAGCCATCAATGAACTCCCTAAAAAAAAATCCCCAGGGCCAGTTGGAGTTACAAGTGAATTCTACCAAATATCTAAAGAACAATTAATTCCAATACTATATAAACTATTTGGAAATTTAGGCAAAGAAGGAGTCCTACCAAATTCCTTTTATGACACAAATATGGTGCTCATACCTAAATCAAGAAGAGCCAAGACAGAGAAAGAAAATTATAGACCAATTTCCCTAATGAATATTGATGCAAAAATCTTAAATAAAATATTAGCAAAGAGATGATAGTAATTTATCACA